AAACCTTAAAATGTCTAAAAATATTAACTTTATGCTAAGAATGGAACTAAATGGGATCAAATGAGACCACTTTCTCATTTTTTTCAAGTCATGGTTTCATTTTAAGATCTAATATATAGTCACTTTATCTGTTTTTTTGATAGCCAGTCCCAGCGGGATTCACGCCAAGAAATGTATGGGATCAGATCAAATGAGATCAAATGTGAAATTTATGATCCCGGCGGCCAGTCTATCTGAGATAATAATCATTTCAAAATCTCTCTCTGCTATCTTCTCAGAGAAGAGTTCTCACTGCTTTCTCTCAGTTAGGTCAATCTGTGTCTCAAAATCCTGCATTTTCTGATCTGCTATCTCAGATTTCATCTCAGCAGTAAGTAGATTGACATACTCAGAGAGCAGAGCTGTCTTCTCAATATTCTGAATTATAGAGCACATTCAAGACCTGAACAAGGCCTCAATTCCCTTCTTCTCTACCAGCTCCTGCTAATCAATTAGAGAATAGAAGTATTATTAAAAATTGTTATCTCTTAATAAAAAACTTATCAGTTTTGACTTCTTTATCTTCTACTTCAATATCTTCTCAATTTTCTTCTATTATTACTTATTTACAGTAACACTCTTCTTCTCTCTCTCTCTCTTCATCTTAATCTTAAATCATTCTCAGAACTTCTTCTAATCTTATCACTACTATATGAGACTCTTCACTATCTTCTTTTTCAATCTCTTACAGATGATGTCATCTGCATTATTTCTATACTTAGTTCAGTCTAAATCTATCAGAAGTATTACTTAAAATTGTTATCATTCTACTCTCTTACAGAGTCTCTTTAAGATATTATAACATGCCTTGCAATCTGTCTCTCTGCACTTGAATATCTTCTTCTTCTCTCTCTTCAATCTGTCACAGCGCTCATGTGCCTTGATAGTTTGCAGAACTGCAGAATATTTGAAGAGAGATAATATGATTGATTTTAATAAGTGTTAAGAAAGAGATGAAGGCAGACAATGATATAATAATGATAATGATGATAATAATAATGATAATAATGATGATGATGATGATAATGATAATGATGATGATGATGATGAAAGAGAAAGTGCATTGAAATATATTATTAACTTATCAAATATAAAGAGACAAAGAAACTATTAACAGCTTTCAGAGATGTACAGAAACAGCTACAGTGTTGCATAGCAATATTATCTTCATTCAATGCATGCACTATTGATATTCTTTGTATACATTTATTATATAATCTATATCAGAGATACATACAGAAAACAGATCTTTATTACTAGAGAGAATGATTGCAGTGATTCTCTGTTTTCATATTATAAAGATAAGTTATTCTCATTTCTTTCTTCTCTCTTTTCTCTTCTTCTTCAACTCATCACTAAGTTTAAGCTGATATGAAAACTATTAAAACACTCATAGAAACCCTCAAATTGAAGAGTATAGACTAATCAAATTTTAAATGTAGATGAATTAAATTAATTTAATAATACTAATTATTTATTCTTCTCTTAATAAAACAATAGTTGTGTCTTTCTCTTCCTCTCTTAAACAAAACATAGCTTGTGAAAAGTGAGTATCACATCAGATTATAATGATTAACACAGTCTCAGTATACAGAGCTGTATACATGCAGCACATGCTGAACTGAGAGACTGTGTGAGTTACAAACTGACAGCAGCATCTCAGAGAGAGCTGTGCAGTGTGAGAAAGCTGTAATTCTCAGTCATGTATGTAGAGAGTAAATCACTGCAGTAAGTGCATGTGCATTGCATGAAAATAACACTTTTTAATAATACTCAGTCTCTGATATTATGAAAATAAAGTCTCTTTATGAGATCTGTTTTTATCAGAAGTCAGAGAATCTTATATTTCTCAAGATCATCTTCACATACCTTGTCTGTGAAATTGATAAGAGAAATCATTAATTTCAGTATTCTGCTCTTGATATTATTTAAGTGATAGTAGAGTTCACCCTGATCACACTTTTTAAGTATATGTTTTCTAATTATTCACATTTATACAGATATATACTAATTATTTATTAGATAATGTTAAGATAATGACTCATTGCAGCTGTGTTACTCTCACTGTGAGAAATACATAGTTAGTAATGAATATTGCAAAGACTCTGAGAAGTGAGTATTTTAAAAGTGCTGCAGCTCTGCAATCTTGATTTTTTTTATTTTTATTTTTTCTTTTTTTCTTTTTCTTTTCTTTTTTTTTTTATTGTGATTTTTTCTTGTATTTGTTTTGTTTTTTGTTTTTTGTCTGTGTTTAGAAAAGTAATGATATTTGATAACACTCTCTGTTGAATTTTCAACAAATGAGCACTATGTTATGATATTATATAAGTGAGAAATGATTTCATAATCTCATTTGATATCATTCTCAATAATGAAATCAGAATGAAAATATGACTAAGAATTCAAATATATTCTTTATCTGAGACTAGATTTTTATTTGAAAAGTGAATCTGAGATCTTTAATATTTGAAATAATGTGATTTGAGATCAATGTAATGAACACAAATCATAATCAGAAGTAATACTTTTAGATAACATGATAACTGTAAAGTTTGATTCTGATCTCAGACACGGTCACACAGTCAGTCTAACTGTACTATTACTGATTTATTTTCTTCTTAACTAACTTCTAACTGACAGTTATCAGACATTATAGAAGAAGATAATAAGCTTGAGTAAGAGATTAAGAATATTCTCAATAATAGATCTCACAGCTGCAGTTAATAATATTTTATAAAATAAGTTAATTATAATTAACTGATCTGAACTCTGAGTTCTATATTATCTGAAACAGCAGCTCTTAACTGATAAGAACTACTTCTGAAAGAGAGAGGTTAATGTAATAAGCTGTGTCTAATCAATTATATAGACTATTTTATTACACTTTATAGATTCTTCTATTTCACTATTAAATATATATACTCTGATTCTCAGTCATTCTCAATTGCTGATTCTTAGCTGTTATAAATATATATAGATTCTTCTGCTCTGAAGCTTCACTGTGTACATTATTATATACATGTATAAATATTCACTCTGATCTAGACTGGCCGCTGAGACTATGAATTTCATGTTTGATCTCATTTAATCTGATCTCATACATTTCTTGGCGTGAATCCCGCTGGGACTGGCTATCAAAAAAACATGCAAAGTGACTATATATCAGATTTTAAAATGAGATCATGACTTGAAAAAAATGAGAAAGTGGTTTCATTTGATCTCATTTAGTCTCATTCTTGACATAATGTTACTATTTTTAGACATTTTAAGGTTTTTTTTAGACTATTTTTAATTTTTTAAAAAGTAATGCTTTTTGATAACACTCAAATGAGATTTAAAGTCATTTAAAGCAATAAAAATAATTTAAATTGAGAAGTGAAAATCATGATCTCATTTGAAAAATGTGACAAGAGTAGACAGTAAGTCTCACTGAGACAGTATGAAACTACTATCTAATATTAAAACTGTGTAATGAGATCAGTTGAATTGGTAATGAAACTATCAAAAAATCTGATTCTGATCTCAGACACAGTCACATAGTCAGTCTACTCTGATCACTGATTTCTACACTTTCTCTTTCTTTTTCTTCTTTAATGTTTTTCTCTTTGTTATATAAGACCTATCAATATTATACCAATCTATTTAACGTAGACTTCTTATATAAATGATTATTTTATACTAGTGTTATAATAAGTACATATTACTGAAGTCTGATACTAATTAGATTAATAAATACTAAAAGTTTGTATGAAATAATAACTTATATCAGTTAAAAATTCTTGATTTTAAGACAGTTTTTACACAGTATATATACTTAGAGTTTTCAGAGAAATTTATATTTCAAAATCTCTATGCTTAGAGACTTCTATATCTGAAAACTCTATACACAGAGATTCTTTACTCAGAACTCTATACACAGAGACTCTTTTATTTATATATCTGAAAGTTTTCATCATCAGAGATGAGAGAGAGATCTGTGAGATAAAGCTTATAATCTGAAAGCTAAGACTGATTAAACTATATATAGTAATACACTAACTAGTTCAGAACTAGTTCAATTGATGCATGATTCTAAAATCAGTATTATGTGAAATTAAGCCTTTACATTAAAAAACATTGAAAAAAGCCTTTTAACACATTTATCACTATAGACTGCCGTAGTACTAGAAAAATCCTGAGAACTGATTCAACTGAAAGTTCTCAGATAGATATCATGGTCTCTGACTGTATACATCTATAATTGAAGAATAATAATAATATATAATATTAATATGACTTGTCTGTGACTTGTCTGAATCGAGTTGAATTGAGGAAAAGATAAATACCACAAGTTAAAGAGAACCAGTACACCATAGAGGCATGATGAACCTGCCAGCCACTCAGCTGGAGAACTGGAGTTTGATTCTTGTTACTTCATCTTCCTTCTAGTAATTAGTAGTAGTGAAAGAGGCGCCCAAGCACAGTGCTGAGGATCAGCAAATTCCCACACAGAATGAATTCATTAGTACAAGCCGATTTAACTCCTTCTAGCGCCCGATGATGTCACACAAAAAGCAAAGGGTCTCTGTTATTCCCGCGAAATGGAGGGGGAAAATGAATTGCAATGGGTTGTGCAGATTCCATACACATTATTAATGCATTACTACGCGTATGTTCAAAGTTTCTATGTGCCCAACCGCAACTGCCAACCTGCCCGGGACAATCACTGAGGACAACTTATCTCTCTATCCCTGTGTGTGTTTGTTACTATTCGGAGCGGCAACTAGGCATACAACGGGCCCAAAGGTCAAAGTTCCAGGCTAAAGCCAGCCCACTAAATAAGAGGAGTGCTTAGCTGCGTGGGAACTCTCTGCCCACGGATGGGATGGGCGCCTTGGGGCTGTCGTATTCAGGCAGAATTGTGAATGGATTACTGGCCTGCCCAAGAATCCATCTATATGTCTGGGGCTCATGGTACCGCCCAGTTAAAGAGCTCCGAAATACGCCGCAAGAAGGCTCCCGGAGTCCGGTAGTTTCCCCCAGTTGTATTGCGCCGCTTTGTTCCAAGCTTCTACCTCGCTATCCTCCAATCGGTTCAAGACGACATTCTTGCCGCGCGCATAGATGGTAAGTTGAGTAGTTGACCATCAGCAGGTCGAATAGTTGTTTGGGTGCATTCTCGCCAACCTGAGACACTTTTGTGATTCTGAGAGCATTTTCCCCCTGGATCTGGTTCTCTCAGAGAGGTTCCAGTGGTTTGGCCGTTGAAGGTTTGCCCTCGTTCCAAGCGAGCCAAAGTTCGGAGCAAGAAGAGAGTTCAAGGGGAAAAGTCTGTCTTGAGCAGATTTAATTTTTAGTTTTTAATGTTTGGTTGCGCAGCAGTATATATGATCAGCAGATATGGTTGGTTATATGCGGGGTAAAGGAAGAGGCGCAGGGAGATATTCAATATTTGAAGTAGGAAGAAGCTGTATAGGAAATACCTAGGTATAGGATATAGATTAGATACCCCACAGACTGAATGCCATGAATAGTCGAGGGAATTCGCCTGACAATAGCCGTTAGTTATCTATCTCACACGCTACCGCAGCGCAGAGAGCGAGGCTGATGCCAATAGGAACTGGCCCTCCTGGGCCATGCCAGCCCAAGCTGTCTTCGCCGTGCTGCTGGCTGCTGTGTCTGTTGGTCTGCTGGTTGGGTTGTTGGGTGTGTACGCTGTATTCTGTTTCTGTAGCTAAATAAGCTATCCAATAATAAATACTTATAAGAATAGTTGCCCGCAGCCGTGACCCGCGCCACCACCGCCCATCGCATATTATCACCACCGCCGCCGTCCATACCCACCACTTGCTTGTGAACGACGACGACAACTGCTCCTCACCTCCACTACTACACCACGCTGGCTATCAAGCTAGTCACTAGGTTAACTAATTGTTCTTATCAATTCAAACGAAATTGGTTTCTTCTCTCATTCTCTTTCCCGGGTAGGTATCTCTTTTACCTCGAACGCTTCCCTCCCCCCCCCCCCGCGGACGACGACGACAACAAACAACGACAACGACAACGACTTCGACGACTAACATCAACCAACCCGCATCCCCCTAGTTACCGCCTAACATATCCTCCTCCTGCGCGCCACCCTCTCCCTCCTGTCCAGCTCCGTCGACTCCCTGAATCTTACCTCCCCTAGCCGTATTACGATCTCTCCACCGTGTTTCATCGTCCCGCGTGGCCGGTGCGTGCTTGGATCCTCACACAACCCCCACAAGGCTTGTGTGGGTGGCGCTTCTTTGTATCGCGATAGAACAAATCTAGCAGAGACAGAAGACGAGAAAGGGAATATATGTCTGACAAAAAGAGAGATTGATAGACAGAAGACAGACTCATAAGGAATTTTCTGACGGTTGAAACGACTTTGCGCCTATAGGGAGATCGCTGGTTTTGCGCGCGACCAGCTGGGATCAATCGATCAATCAGACTGCGCCTTACAGTGTCAGGTCGACTATTCGTTCGTCGTATCTAGAATCTTCCTCTCTGACTCGCACCCTCTTTGATCGGGCCTCACCAGAGCAGCTGGATATTTCTATCTAACACAGCCGCAAGCAGCTTTTTGCTGTTCCCTGGCATTGTCATCCACTTTTTCCGCCCTTCCCCCCTGAAAATTACCATTGTTGCCGCACAAGGGACCAACATACTCGGTCGCCCGCTTCATTTACCCCCCTCCCTTCCACCCTCCCCTCCCCGTCAATAAACAGGAGCCATCCAGGTCAATCAAATAATAGTAGAACCTTGAAGCCACTCTTCTGCCTTGAAAAAACCCGGGAGCCAAGAGAGCAACTCTCCATCCTGGCTTGTCCGTCAAAATGAAGGTATGTCACTCGGAAAACCCCACTATTCCCACCCGACTTTTGCGACGTAAAATAAAATAACTGGAGGTCGATTTGCGCCGCGCCTCTTTGTCTTTGACTTTTTTTGATCCCGTAATCGATTGTGGTTGGACTAACGACTTTCTGTTCTGGCTAACGTTAAAATCTTTCTCCCCAAACAGGCTATCCGGCGCTCACTCAAGGGCGAAAAAGAACCGAAACCACAACATATCTCCATCACCCCAAAGTCTGCCATTGCTATTCTCCCACCAAAAAAGGTGAGCCATTTCTATTTTTATTTTCTTCCAGTTAAACATTGTCAAAAACTTTATGTCCTTAATTTTTTTTCCCCTCCCCCCCAAAAAATTAATCCTCATGTATCATTCCTATCTAGTTGTCGACTGCATTCCAACCAAACTCAAGAGACACAAGAATTATGCATGGTGTGGGCGCGAAATTAACAAACGCCACTAACATAAAACTAAAACTATTGGTGGTTATTCCAACATCTAGGTTATCAAAGCCCTTTATAACCACAGGCCCGAACCTGGCAATACGCAGGAGCTGGCTTTCAGCAAGGGTGATTTTTTCCATGTCATAAGCAGAGAAGACGACACCGACTGGTACGAGGCGTGCAACCCTCTAATCCCAAGCGCGCGGGGCCTCGTTCCTGTCTCATTTTTCGAGGTTATTGGCAAAAACGAGCGTAACAGTGGTGGGTCTGCGGGGAACCCCGAGGAATACAGTCAAGACCTGCACGACTCTGGATTTTCGGATCGCAGTCCACAACACTCCCGGTCAGACTCGACAAACACTACCAAGCAAGCCGCTCGCGCCAGGATGTCTGCCATTGGCAAGGGCTCTGGCGCCATGGTGTACGGCATTGTACAGTACGATTTCACCGCGGAACGCCCGGATGAACTCGATGCAAAGGCTGGCGAGGCCATTATCGTGATTGCCCAGTCCAATCCAGAGTGGTTCGTTGCGAAACCTATCGGTCGCCTGGGCGGCCCAGGCCTGATTCCCGTTTCGTTCATTGAGATTAGAGATATGACAACAGGCAAGGCCGTGGCAGACCCGCACGACGCTGTCAGAAAAGCTGGTGTTCCCCGCGTCGAGGAGTGGAAGAAGATGACGGCGGAATATAAAAACAGCTCTATCACCCTAGGGAAATTCGAGGGTGGAGCACAGGGTGCAGCAGCAACAGCGGCATCGGGAGACATTAGCAGAATGACCATGAATGGCAGCGATCCTGTAAGTTTTTACAATTGCATTCGAAGAAGCAGTGGAGAGCAGCAGATATCAAGAACTTTTACATTAGTCGTGTACAGAGCATTGTGACTGACTGTTTTCATCCCTCTTCCGTGTGGGGGTAATGATAAATCTTAGTACCAACAACAGAGCCACAATTCGGGCGTATACTCACCGAACCAGCAACAATACCAGAACCAAGCATACCGACAATCTACCCAGCAGAGCCCACAGCAATCTCAAAATTTTTACCCCCCGGCCCTCGCGCCGGTTTCCGCATGCATCCCCCGATTCGACACCGATCACGATAAACACTGGTTTGTCATTAGGGCTAAAATGGAAGATGGACGGTATTGGGAATTGTCGAGATACTATCACGATTTCTACGACTTCCAGATTGCCCTCCTGAGAGAATTCGAGGAGGAGGCCGGCAACAAGGGGAAACCGCGGACTTTGCCATTTATGCCAGGCCCCGTCACGCATGTCACCGAAAAGATTTCTAGTGGCCGACGGCAGAACCTAGATGAATACATCAAGAAGCTATTGTCGATGCCCCCTCACATCTCCCGCTGCCAGCTCGTCCGCCAACTCTTCGCACCGCGCCCCGGCGATGTCGAAATCTTCCCGACCACCTCAGACGACTACAGACTCTCCGGCGGTTCGCAGCAATCCTCCGGCCACGTCCCTTCCCGATCAGAGTCAACCCATTCTACCTCCAGAGGCCATATAAACACGGGCAGCTACCCACCCGGCTCGATGGGACCTCCACCATCCTCACAACGCCAAGCGCAAGGGCACCCGCACCACCAGCAAGGACGCACGCCCTCGCAATCACAATCAAACGGCAACGGCAGCGTGAACCTCAGCCGCTCCGAGCTGCAAAACCAGATGATGAACCGGCAACAGAGTGCGATGACACAAACCTCGTCTTCCTCTACCACAGGCGCCGGCGCGATCAAGATCAAAGTCTTCTTCCAAGACGACCTTATCGCCATCCGCGTGCCTAGCGATATCAGCTACGCGCAGCTGCGTGAGAAGCTGAAGGACCGGCTGAAGCTGGGCGACGAGATTATGCTGCAGTATAAGGATGAGCCGAGTAATGGGTTTGCGGAGTTGTTGAGTGACCATGATTTGGATACCGCGCTACAGCGGAATGCGAAGCTTACGCTGTATGTTGGGCTTGCGTAGATGTGTTGGCACGAGGAGCAGTAGGAGTGTTTGGACGAGAATATATATTTTATATTTGTTTCTTTTCTTTTTTTCTTCTTCTTTTCTTCTTCTATTTTATGTTCTTTTCTTTTTCTTCTTTTTTTTTTTTTTTTTTCTAGCACACGCCTGTGATCGTTTCTATGATCTGATCTTGATCTGATTTGACGGCTTATTCCCCTTCTATTTCTCTTCTTTTCCAACTTCTTTTTTTATTTTCTTCTTTTATTTAAACTTCTTTTTTTTTATACTCTGACGGAAACGGAGCAACTAGCTGAGCTGCCGGAGACATCGTTGCTTGGATCTATTTCCCCCTCCAGTCCCTTTCTTCTTCCCTTTCTTCCTCTTCTTCCTCTTCCTCTTCCCCTTTTATATCCATTTTATATATCCCAAATATGACCCCTTCTTCCCATCTCTCTCCCTATATAATCCCCTCATCCTCCGACCTTTTTTCTTTTCCTTTTCTCTTTTTTAACTTATATCTACCTATCTATTTCCTTTGTTGTTCGCTCGCGCTATTTATATTTAACGTGGCCCCACTGAAAATACCAGGATATGTATCGGAAAAAATTGGACCGGGACGGATGGATGGATGGATGGATGGACGGATGGATGTGCTCGATTGATATTGATCGATCGATTTGACTGAATGAATGTATTATGAGCCAGCCACGCCCTCCCTCCCCTTTGCGAAAAAAGGAAATGTGACATGATATGTTGTTGTATGCCAGTTCGAGGGAAATTCAATCTCCGTTATATTATGGCTTTTTTTCTCACTTATTTCTTATTTCGGTTCCGCTTCATCCTTTTTCTTTGGTTTGCTCTTTTCAATCACTTTCACACCCACTGTTGGTGTGTGTGCGCAATGCTGTATTTTCTCTTTTTTCTGCATTTCTTTTATTCTCACCCCCCTTCCCCTTGTCTTTTTCAATATGTGTGCTACCCTCCTCTATGATTTTTATTGTTTGATGGCCCCCTTTTGATGACCTTTTTTACCTGTGTTTTGTTATATCTAGCTTTGCTTTTTTTTTGTCTGTTTGCTGAAACCTCTATAATATATTGTAATTGTGAAACTGAGCAAGCATCATTGATTGTCTCCTTTTTATTCACTGACTAACTAAAATCCTATCTAACTAGATGATGAGTTGGTAATGTTCAGTGACCTTGAATTTTGCTCGGTGGGGAGCTAGAAATGTCTTAAATATAATCCCTTCATACGATTTATATCGGGAGCCTTCGTGCAAAAGTAGGGGGCGAGGCACACAGTGACTGTATACTCTTCTGCCAACAAGTGTTGTGGAGTAGGAACTCTAGATGAGATAGTAGTGGCCATGGATTCTGCTCTCATATATCAGTTATCATGCAAAGATGAAAGGATCAGGGTTTGTTAATGTAATGTACATGTACACCCGGACTCCTGAAGAAAGAAACATTATCAACTTCACAGATGAGTGATGCAGAGCTTCTGAGTTGATCTTCAGAGGTCAATTGTGATAAGCTCAATGTTATATAACCCGGCTGAGATAGTTAGTAGAAACTGTAAATGGCTATCCTACTTTTCATCCATACTCTGACAGATATCTGGGCTGTCCTTATTGATACCATCATCCTTTTCTCATTGTTACTATCTCTATCTAATGATCATAGATCTGTATGTAGTTATGGGACAAGTTGTGTATCAACCTCGGTAATAATACTTCCCCACTAGCCGTAAGAAGACTAGCGTAGGTAACTAGTTTTCTTCTTGCCGCATTTCCCCCGAATCCCGTGACAATCTCGCCTTCAAGCAGATTCCGACATCTAAACCACCTTCCATCTCAACCTCAAACAACCACTCTCTCGTCAATCCCTATTACACTATTCTCATAGGCATCCATCTCGCTCTGAAATTAGCGACGTCTGCTCCGTCATTTACCTTATTCTGCCATTTTGCATAGCGCCGCGTGATACCAACTTTTTGCTTCAAGCCCGCCTCTGCCGATTCCCGGATCTGGTCCCCTCCCTCGTTCGATAACTACCTGCACCTTTTGACCGACCAGATTCCGCTCATTTGCGTGTGATTTACATAGCCATAGGGTTGCGTGTTCGATACCCCGGCGACGAGTTTATGAAATACAGAGTCCGTCCCGCATTTTAGAAAGTATCTATTCCTGATCGAATCTCACTAGAAGGGTTCCATTTTGCGTGTTATTCCTTTCGGTTCTTTTCTTAATGTCATTTTCGGAACGGTATACAGCATAGTATAAAAATCAGTGACGAGAGAAACGAAATACACACTTTAAAAGGAAAAGAGAGAGAGAGAGATACAACCGTTGCTGGAGGGGAACGAGAATGCGACCTCCACTGCGCTCCCGCCACCCTAGCCTGCTCCTCGCAGATGCGATCTTGTGCTCGCGCACTCGACTGCCAACGGTTGTCCGCGGGCAGTATGGTGGCATCATTTGTGCGGACTGCAGGAGGAGTATGACGGGTAGGCGGAGGGCCGGTTCTCCTTTGATGGTTACCCCGCCCCAGGCACGGCGATCTAGAATAGGATTGCCAAGGGATATCTCTCGGAGCGGTGGTCGACGACAGCAGCAGCAGTATCAACAGCAGGTTAGAATGATCTCGAGCAGTCGGGCTGATGCTGCTGAGGTTGTAAATGGCGCGCCAAGCATGTCTGCTGCGGATGCGGGTAGACATCAGCTTTACGGGCCAATTCAGGAGTACGAGGCGCGCGTGCAGTCCGGGAGATTGAGGGATGATGCGCATCAGAGAGGTAATATATATATCTCTCTTTTCCTTTTGCTTTGCCCTCTTTAGTTATTGGATTCTTTATACCTGCCTTTTCCCTTTGCGTCTTATAGGTATAAACCAGAGGAGAGAATATTCATTAACGATTATCCTTTTTCTCCTGATTTTGTCGTCGAACAGATATCATCCAGCATCTCCAAGACCTTCACGAGATGCTCCGCTCCTACACTCCACCAACCGTAGTCCGCCCAACTATAGAGTTCCTCGAAAACCCAGACCCGAGACCCTCATTCTTCAACACACTATTTGGCCGCACTCCGCCTCCACCAGCCACAACGCAGATTCCCTCTAATCTGCCCAAGGGATTGTACATGCACGGCGACGTAGGGTGTGGCAAAACTATGTTGATGGACCTATTTTTCGACACGCTGCCGGAAAACGTCACCTCGCGGCAGCGCATCCACTTTCATAATTTCATGCAAGACGTGCATAAGCGCCTGCACGTTATGAAAATGAAACATGGAAATGAATTTGATGCGGTGCCGTTTGTTGCGGCCGATATTGCGGAAGGGGCGAGTGTACTATGCTTCGATGAGTTTCAGTGTACAGATGTGGCGGATGCTATGATTTTGAGGAGGTAGGACATCTTTTTCATTTGCCACTTCCCTAGACCTCTATACACAAAGTACTAACTGTTTAACCAGACTCCTTGACTCCCTCATGTCCCACGGCGTTGTTCTCGTCACAACCTCCAACCGCCACCCCGACGACCTGTACAAAAACGGCATCCAACGAGAATCCTTCATCCCCTGCATCACCCTTCTAAAAACATCCCTAACAGTCCTGAATCTCGACTCTGCCACGGACTACCGCAAAATCCCGCGCCCACCGTCAGGCGTCTATCACCACCCGCTCGGCATGCCCGCCGATCATCACGCGGACAAATGGTTCGAATACCTAGGCGACTTTGCCAATGACCCACCACACCGCGCCGTGCATCAAGTGTGGGGGCGCGATATCGAGGTGCCGCTGGCAAGCGGCAAAGCTGCGCGATTTACGTTTGACCAGCTGATTGGGCGGGCAACGGGGGCGGCGGATTATCTTGAGCTGATGCGGAGTTATGAGGCATTTATTGTGACGGATGTACCTGGGATGACGATTCGGCAGAGGGATTTAGCAAGGCGTTTTATCACCTTCATCGATGCGGTTTATGAGAGTCGGGTGCGTCTATTATTATACCTGCCCTTCGTTTTAATAAATATTTGTGACTTCCTTGTTGTTGGCTGGCAGAACTAACATCGATACAGGCAAAACTCGTCCTCACCACCGCTGTCCCGCTATCCAATCTGTTCCTTTCTGACGCGGAACTTAAAGAATCTATTGCTGAAAATAACAAATCATCCGAAAACGGTACCAACAACCAGGATGAAGTGCCTGAAAATCTCTCAGACTCTATGCGGCATCTCATGGATGACCTGGGCATGTCCATGTCCGCGCTTAAATCCAGCTCCATCTTCAGTGGCGACGAGGAGCGCTTTGCCTTTGCACGAGCGCTGTCGCGGCTCGCCGAGATGGAGGGGAAGGATTGGGTGGAGCGCGGGTTGGGGATTGGAATGGATACGAAGGCGGGGGAGGGGGATAAAGCGGCGTGGGATAAAGCGCGGAGTCGGTGGAGAGAGGATAGTTTGTGAGTTTTATTTTTTTTTTCTTTATTAGGCTGGGAGGATGTATATAGAATATGTCTGTATGTATGTATGGCTTCCTATTCTTCTTATCCATGCATTTTTGGAGGGTGATATACCTAGAACGTTTATTGTTTTGTTTAGCTAGATACAAATATATGTATATTTTCCGAATGGGGGTGAGTTTTTTATTCCGAGATTGATGATGATGACAACTAAAATAATACTCGAGAACTAATTTTCAAATAATTGAATGATAGGGGATTCCTATTTTATTATCATTCACATGATAATAACAGATTCTCCGTTCGTTTCATCATTGATACCAGTTACCTTTTATTCCCTTTCTTATTTTCTTTTGGAAACCTTTCTCAGTTTCCTCTTTCGCTTTCCTTGTTCCCCTCTCCCTTGTGAAAGGTGAACAGGTCCTGCGTAACATATTGTCCTACCCAGCAATATGTATATATATATAAACCCGCGCTATTCTTTCTGTCCATTTCTTTTTGACTTTTGCCATTTCCTCTCCTTTATCCCCCTCTCTTGATCCTCTGAACTCAGTCGCACCCGTTTTCTCCCAACCAAGCTCAGAATCGAATGGCAAAGTTGTTTCCGTGCCGATAACGCTCACAGCATCGCATCTATACTATAGGCCGAGAGTATAAACTAGGCAGTCGGCTCTAGTGTATGCATACATACCTTTTCTCCGGGAACCCCCTGACCGCGCCAGCATTTTCAGTTTTCATACTTTTCCTACCGCCAGAAATTTTCCATCCAGGATTTTCTTACCCAACCTTCACCTATATGTTTTTCCAACGCTCGCTAACTCTCGGTTAATATTGCGGCGAGGGAAACGAGGGAGTCTGACGTTGGAAATGCCGCTTTCCAATCCGTGTGACATTCAGATCATCATGAAGTGGAGCGGCAGTGCCCTCCGTCTACAAGGCCCACTTGTTTGCGAAAGACAACGGTTAACAAAGTTTGCTCTAGCTTATTGGCTTATTGAGAAAGACAGCGGGTAGCTCCTATAGCTCCTTACAGACGGGGCCCCAGCGAATGATATGCGACTGGGCATGAAGCCGCAGTACGTTTTGATATCCGGCTCAGACGTGAGGACGGTAATTTCCCTCTCGCTCGGAACCCTTCGTGAAGGGAAGTGTGGATGACTTCCGTGCTTGTGAATTCGATAGCTTCATATGCCCACGAGTATGAACTATAAAAGCCGCATTCTTCTTTGTATCCTCCGTTTTCTTTTCTTTTCTAGTTCAACCTTCCACCTTGTTCCACACTCCCACCCACTATCATGCTACGGCATTCAAAACCAAACCTACAAACGTCGTCATAAAGGCTCCAAGAGAAACTCAAAGCTAACCTCAATCCACATCAACCTCTCTATACGGATCTACCACTACTTGCTATCTAGATATACCTCCCACTCCTCCGTTGGAATTTACACCTACATGCATACACCGAACTATAAAAAGCGCATTTAGTTCGATAGCTCAAACCATCTTACATCAACCCAAACGCCATCCACAAAACCCTCCTCGATTTACCTAGCCTTATTCCCATACCTACCTTCGACCCTACGGACCACCATGTGCCTCGTATATGCCGTCTACGCCGGCTGCGGCCATAAAATAGGCGGAGAGATTGAGCCCTGTCCCTACGCGCGATACCCCGACGCATGCGCAGAAGCTAAAACAGAAGACCGGAAAGTTGAAATTATGTGCACGCGATGTCGCAAGTATTATGGCTGTGACTATACAGAGCGACTGAAAGACCGGACACCGCCACCGAAGGCTGCGGAGTATAAGGAGATCGAACCCAAGGAAGCGGCGCCTAAGAAAGCTGAATCTAAGGAAGCTAAGAACAAGGAAGGCGAGGGCAAGGAGGCCAAGAGCAAGTGAGAACAGCTAGCCATGTGCAGGGCGCTCTGAGGGCCATCTACGGCGTTTATGAGAAGGGGATCCCTGCAGTATAAATTTGTGTCTATATGCGCGAAGGTTAGGAAGAGAATGTCTGGTATATGCTAGGGTAAAGTGATGAAACAGCCGATTTGGGATATGATGTGCTTTTATTTGCTTCGATTTCCTGCAACATCTTATTTAGTGTATGTAGTCCTGGTATACCAGTCTATCCTTGAAGTAATACTTTGCTTTGAAGAACGGAACTGAGAAGAACTAAACTGGGAAGTTCCGACAAAGCCCCCTCCCTACCTACTAACTGTTCAAAATTTGACTTTCGCATTTGTTACATCAAAAATGGCACTCTTCTTTATTATGCCGAGCTTTAATTGTAGCAGACAGCCCTACCACATAAGTAATCATCATCTTCATTCTCAACCTATCCAAAGCAAGCAAATTTAACAGGCAGAGAATCAAATTCCCGAAAAGTTATCTGTGAAAGCAGAGAGATGAACACGTAAAGATGAACAAACTGTTATTCTTTTAAAAAAAGAAATCAAAAAACTAATCACCAAACAAAAGAGAAATAATCAAATCAATCCATTCCAAACCCAGAGAGTATATACTAATTACAGCGCAACCAACCATGAAAGAAACCATAAAAGTTACAAAGCCAAACAAAAAGGAGTCAGTAGGTAGAGAATAAGCATTCCATCAACGTATACCTACATAACCATGAACAAGAAGATCATCTATCATTAACTATAAACATTTCACCACGAAAACCCAAGGCGGGGAGGGGGGTCATTATCGAAATAATCAGGGGCAAGAAAAGAAAAAAAAAAAAGAGAGAGGAAAACATATACATCAAAAAGACAAGAAATCATCCACTAACCTTTTCAGAGCAAATGAAAACGAAGAAAGCAGGGGGAAAATTAAGAAAAAATCTCAAGACCCTCATCTCCAAAATCTCAACTTTCCCGCCGTCCTCTTCACCGTCCATCCCGCCTCACTCGCCCAATCACTAAGCGTCTCCCCTACACTCCTCCCCGCAGACGTCCGCCCAACAGAGCTTCCCGCCCCGCTAGACCCCGCACCAGCACTACTAGCCCCAGCGCCCAAAAACCCACCACCATACCCATACCCCGTCCCCCCCGCCGCCTCGAACTTCATCTTCCCCTCCATGACTTGATGAACAAGATTCAACATGGCAAACGCCCCGGACCCCAGCGCCCGGAATAGCGCGAGGCCCGCAACACTCCACAGCACAAAGGCCAAGTACCCGTTGTTCCCTGCCGATTTCTCCGTGAAGGACTCCGACACCGCCATGGCCAGGATCGCGTTCGCGACAACCCATACCGACACCATGTACGTGCGCACGGCGCGGTAGTAGTCTTCCTGCATCTGCGCCTCTGAGAGCTCGGGCGGGGCCACCTCGAGCCGGTCGCGCAGGTTCCGTAGCGCCTCGTCGTAGCCGCTATCGATGTCCAGTTGCTCCGAGGGCATTTCCAGCTCGACGGTGGAGGAGCCCGTGGTGCGCGCGGCGCCGAGGTCGGTGTGGATCATGTTATCGCCCTTGGTGCCCCACGTGACGTCGTGGGTGTTGCAGAAGGCATAGACCTGCAAGGTGCAGATGTAGCTAGGGAGTAGGGCGAAGTATTGCGCTGACGAGGTGAACATGTGCCAGGGATCGAGGTAGAGGAAGGACATGAAGAAATATAGGCCGACGGTTGAGAGGGTCGAGACGATGATGTTGGTGAAGGTATTGTTGCCCAGCTTCAGCCGTTCTTCGAGAGGTTGGTCACTGAGCTTTAATTGGGTCACCACCATATACAGAGCGGAAAAGACCGTGTACATCATTATTATACAATAGACAACCATGCCGGTCATGAACATCTTCTTGGCTCTGAAAGTATTGTTAGCTGCGTGGCTGAAGGCTCAGGAGGAAAGCAGGGAGCAGCTGTAAGTCACATACCCTTGGGGTCGATTACCCATCGACAAGATGAACTGCAGGCAAATAAGGAGTACACAGGCATATCGCAATATTACAAATATGTACTTTCCGATATTATGCCCGAACGGGTCATTGGTAGGGTCCGATAATGCACCAGCAATGAAGTAAAAAGTGAGATAGAAATTTGCCTATAGGTCAAATAGGAGGTCAACCAATTAGTTATAGTCCGTTGGTACGTAGTGAGAAGAAGTATCCCGCACTTGATGACCAACTTACCAAAGAAAAGAAAGTAAACGCTAAAGAAACAAACTGATACACAAATTCGATATGTAATAGGATTTTCCTCGGAATTGTATGGTCTGTCCGCCAAATTTGCCGGAAATGAATAAGCGAATACACTGCCGCGAAGAAGGCGCCATTGAGCCATCGTCGTCGTTGGGAGATGAACTCAGGCACAGAATCTACACAAAAGATTATGAGCTAAAATGTAGAGAACACCGTTGGTGCCAACGATCGGATAGGGAAAAAACAGGAAGAAAAAGAAAAGAAAAAAAAAGAAAAGGGGCAACATACCCGGAACGTCAGTCTCCCCAACTGCACTTTTCACAAACTTCAAAACCCATTTTTCTTCACGTTTAGCCACCAACTCCCAACACAGAATCCGATCCTCCGCAAGGTACATGTTGGCAGTAAACACATCCGCGTTCTTCCCGTGAAGCATCTCCCCCTTGAAATACTGACTCAACGGCCCATGGCCCGTACTATCATTCTGCAGGGCATGGTACCGGTACGCGCTCAACGCACCGGGTAGCACGGTAATATATCCAAAAACTGACTCGAGCGGTTTATCTAGGATATTCGACATTTTATATTCGAAATTCTGCGAGGCAACCAGCGGGTTAAACAAGCCCAGCCACCCTTTACCCTTGCCAGCTTTAATCTCCCCAGCAGCGCCCGCGACATTTGAGTCTTGATCAAACGCTTTCCAGAGATGGTATAGAGCAGTGGGCGCCGGCTTCGTCCCAACGTCAAGAAGAATGCAGACGTTGGGGGTCAAGGCGCGCCCGAAAGCGTTGAAGAACCATCTGTGCGAATTCAGTTTCTTCTCATTGCGCTCCTTCAGACAGAAGATGATTTGGCAGGGCATTATCCCCTTCTCTGCACCTTTGAATTTAAGATCCGGGTCTAGGGAGACCTGAGTGGTGTATTCATAAACGTGTGCATTGACTGGCTTCTGGTTGACGATGTTCTTGGCGATCCCATCCTGATAGACGCCCATGGCTGCAAGAGCATTCAATGTGCGCGGGTGTACTTTTTGTCTACCATCAGCAATGATGCACACCACAATCTTCTGCCAACCATCTTTACCCCAGGTTCGCGATTTTGTTCTGGAACAAAAATGGGTGATATTTCGCATGATACCGTG